ACATGATTTCTCGACTGCCACAAATACTGCCTAAACAAAATACTGCACTTTTTATTCTACCAATATTTAAATTGGCCTTTGAACTTGGCTTTATTGCATGTCAAAAAAAAAGCCTTCCCTTGCCAAAGCACTGACAGAACACAAAAACAAAAACTGGATCCTATTGCAAGAAACAAAACGAATCCACGTCCAGGCGCTCACATAGCAGGCAAAATATAAAAAAAGCCTTTATTGTGCGACATGTTAAAAGACACCAACGCATATCAGCCCAAACAGGCCTTCTCAGGGTGTTAGACAATAGAGAATGAGAACTAGTTAAATAGATACACCTGTGACTACATTTTCAAAATCTAACCACTAGATGCCTCTTAGGAGACAAAATACAAATTCACATTTCGAAGTTTGCAGAGGATTTCGACGAGTGAGTTGCTGATATTATGCACATGTGTTTGTATCACTGAGGACTTGAATGAGCCTGATGCACAATACAGGTTTCTTTAATAACAAACAAAACATGCTGGAAATATGCTTATGACTAGTTTTATTAAATAGGCCTATATTTTTATTAACACGTGGAAAAACCTGAACCTTTTTATGGTTTATTGTGCATGCAGATCATATTTTAGGTTCTTGAGCTAAATCAATGAGTTTATAAATCATGTTGATTATTTCTTTACTCTTTTTCTTTCTATATACATTAAACATGTAGAAAATAATCTGTTTGTGCATAAATGTGTGCTGTAGGTGTGAAACTTATCCAAGATGTAGGCTACTCAGTATTGGTCAGTCTTATGCAGAGCCTGGCATGATTGTGACAGCACTGATCTATATCAATTCTCCATTACAAATAATTCTCCATTATTTGTTTTTATGATAAATGTCATTTATTTGTTTGAAAAAACATTGTTTTAACGACATGTTTTATTGTTACAAAAGCATATATCTTTTAAATGACACTATCTCATTATTAAGACATCATTTTTGTAAAAGAAATACAAAATTAAATTAAAGTATTGTGTAAAGCGCTACACAAATAAATGTGAGTTGAAATTATGAATAATTTCTCGGGCTGAATATCAAGCGTGGGGCATCTGTTGAGGAGTGTAAGTGCAGGGAGGGCTCGGTGCACACGTCACAGACACTGATTGAATTATTACTCGTTAAAATCACATCATTGTTCTTCAAGCTTTGCGTAGTGTGTGTGTGTTTATGTGAGTCTACACTCATAAAATGTCAGAGATGTGTTTTTACTGGAAACAAATCATACTACAGTACTTTGTGTAAGAATTTGCAAATATATTATAGGTTCATAGATGTTTTTATTGAGCCTTTTGCTTTTGCATACAAATCATCAGGGAAAAATACATTTAAAGCTGGTGTTAATTTGAGAAACATGTATGAGAGACTTTGTTAGAAAGTTTGTTGGTTTTGTAAGTAATGCAAGCACAATCAACTTTGCAAAGTCATACTTTAGTATTAATTGTAATAAGCACTTTAAACCATCCACTGTCTACAGTTTCTGCAACAATAATCCCAGTTGCCTTCTCTATCTGTGAAGCACCACAGGTAATCTTTATTATGGTAGTCACAGAGGTGATCAGGCCTGCAGGTTTTGTGATTAACAGATGAATAGCAATCATTAGAAGTACAGCACATAATTGCCTTCATCATCCGTGTAGCACCATGGCTTGTATTTACAACATTTGGCACAGGCGTGATTGCCGCGGCACTACTTTCCATTTATAGCTTTACTGCGCCTCAGTGCAGTAATCCCAGTCATCTTTAATGTAACCAAGGCTAGTCTTACACCAGTAGTAGTCATAGCCATATGTGGCACAGGGGTGATCATACAAGCACATCTGTCCATTATCAGTGAGGCTGATGCCTGGGCTTTTATTAATTAATTTCTGAAACATGCCATGAACTTTATTATTGTCACCAAAACAATAATCAACAAAAATCTCAATTGACTGCTGGGTCCATGAGAGCTCACTGTAGAGCCCGCTGAGCTGATCATTCAGGTCTGAGACACTCATCAGGCGTATATCAGGCTCTTCTGGGTGGTTTCTTCCAATGTAGCCAAAGGATAAGGACTTACTGTCATCAGTGTCGTGTTCATAACAGACAGCCGTCCAGATGTGAGAGGGCACTGACACCCTAAAACGATCTCCAGGGGTTCCCCTCTGTGGTATCCGTACATTGGGATCAGGTACTGTACCTGTGACAATGAAAGCTGTTGAAAAAGCACGATCCCTGTCAAGCATGCCTTTTAAGAAACTCCTCAGCGTGCTCTCCCAGTTCCTCCAGTGGACACGGTTGAAACGCTCTTTCATAGGTGCAGCGTTGGTCAGTGTGAATGTCGCTTTACGGCCATCACCGCATTGGAAGCAGCTGGGGTTCAGGTGTCCACGATCATATCCCGTGCCCCTGTAGTAACTGCTGATGGCTTGATTTTCTTTATAAAGGTTTTGAGTAACTTGATCCTCACGGACCATATGAGCAGTTTGGGATCGAGGATGGGAAATCTGCAGAAGAAATATTATGTTAGATGGTCATTTGATGTTTTATCGCTTGTAAGAAAATACTTTTGAGGGTTTTTTCCCCCTTAGTTTCATAAGGTGTATTTTTCATACTGTTTGCAATGACAAAACAGAAAGTAATTTAATTACGAAATAAATGTAACTATAATCAGTTACAGTTAATAAGAAATTTTTTTTAATTTAATTACAATTACAAAGGGGGTTACATCTGAATATTTACATACACATACAGATTTAATTGATTTCTTTCCCAAATTGCACTGCATGAGCATTTTACAGTTTCTTTTGAGAAAACTATCATCATATCATATACAAACAGACACCAATTGTTTTAGGACACAATAGGACACATGCGTATTTGATAACTTTTATTTCCTATTTGTTTGATGTGTATGCTTTATTTGTGACAAAATAATATGATTCTCATTGCATTTATATATTAGTAAAGAACTTTGAATTAAGCTTCACTTTATAACAGTAAATGTGTGAACCATTTATATTATGGCTGTTGATATTTATACAGTTGACATGATGATCACCTGCATTTCATGGCTTTGATTACATTTGTTTTCAGATGTACAGTGACTAAGTAACATAAACAAAAAATGTATCTAAGAAAAATCATGTCATCTTTTTTCACTACTACAAAAAGGAGAAACTTTTAAGGAAAGGAGGAAGAATTAAAAACCTAAAATGATCTGGCTGCATTAGACTCAGATGTGTGTTTATAGTTGCATAAATCATTTGATATCTCGTTTGAGGGGTTTAAACATGTTTAAACATTCATTGAAATGCAAGAACAGTTGCTCAACCAAAGTTTGTGGACATCAAATTACAAATCTGATGATTACTGTACTTAAAGACAATGTATTGTCAGCTCTTCCCATATTGTCTTCTTAGGAAAATGTGCTGTTTTATTAAATCAATTGACTATTACTTTTGAAAACATTTAATGAACATATGTTTAGAACTTGAGAAATGAACCTTTAAGCTAGAAAAAAAATACCACAGAGGGAGGGGAAACAAGTTGGACCTGTTTCACGGTCAGTGTGATCTGTTTGTTTCATGTTAAAACAAAACCTTAAGCTACAAAAACACTTAATGAATCAATCCTGTCATTATTGAACTCAGAACAGCTTCATATCATTCAAGAGCTGAAGAGATTAAAATTGACCTGTGCAGGTTTGTATATTGTTGTCCGGATTGCTGTCACTATTCATAAAAACTGTCAATGCAGTGAAACTTGTGAAAAAGACTTGTGAGCCAGAACTCACGCAGTGTTTCTCTTTAAACATAACGATGGGTTGGTTTAAGTGTTGATTTAGGAATCAGAGGTCAGGTTAGGAGAGATTTTTTTTTTTTAAAGGGAGTCTATGAGATGAGCCCAATAATGTACAGTAGCCTCTACAGTCTGTGTTTCAGGTCATTTTACCTTTACAGAACAGTTTTTGCAGGAGATTTTGTAATTAACCAAGAGATAACTCAGGAATTGGTTTGACTAAAAACACCTGATGGGGGACAAAGACCATTGAACACATGCTGACTCCATAATTTTCAGCTTTAAAGTTTCCCAATAAAATCATAAAGCTAACTGTCCCAGCTACCAGGTTATGTTCAGTTTAAAACACTCCCCTTTTGTCACATTATAGTAGCAGTTTAAAGTGAAAGTGAAACCACACAATCACATTTGTATTTATTTTCTTCAGAAATCCCTGTTCATAAACATTTATTTTAATAGCATAAAACAGGATTTGTTTCAGGGTTTTTTGTAAAAGTTATTTGCACATTCATGTGTCAGCATGTCATTTGAGTTGTTAATCAAACTGTATGTCATTAACAGTTGTCTTTTGTCAGACCCACAACACTTTAGGGTGATTTTTGAAAAAGATCCACTGGAAGACTATCAAACACACGTATCTGTTCTTCTCACTGAAATGAAAATGCCTGGTGGAGGAGGTATGACATGTATTCATATACTTACACTTTGTCTAGACATTAAATCATTGCTTATTTAAAAAAACAAAACAGATATTTGTCATTAGGGTAAAGACAGAAAGAAAATCACTCAATTTCACATCCTGCTAATGTGAGACTAACTGTTTATATATTTGCATAAAGTATATAGTTTTATATAAATATTAACACAAACTAATGCATCTGACACTGTTGTGAAATTCACTGAACTCCTGAAAATAATATTTTTTGTCTTTGTGTTTAAATTAGTCTTTTTATCTCACAGGTCCTAATCCACCTGATGAAGGATTTCCCAGGTCTAAATACATGGAAATAATATATTTGAATGTGTAAATGTGTCAGACTCACTAAATTCAATAAAAATAAGAGTTTACTATTTCACATATTGCTTAATCGATGGAGAAACATACAAATCATACACAGAAAATATTATAACTACAGCACAACTGATGTACAACACAGTTTTTTTTATAAAAAAGCATACCAAAAATACTTTTGTATTTAGTGAATGTTTACATTTATTTGTTTAGTGTACACTTTAATCCAACATGACTTACAAAAGAGGAATATAACAAAGTGATTGATTTCAACACAAGAGTCTGTTGATATTGAAACACTGTTACAAGATGGTAATCAATATAAAGATGATCAATTCCATAATATTGAAAATAGTAGGTTAAATTTTTAGCAACAAAATGAATCTCCACATTCACAATCAATACAACAAAAAAGTTTCATTAATATATGCAGCATCATTCATGGATCTGCCTTCATAAATGCATATTTGCAACAAATGTATGTCAATAATGATATTCATATGACTGATCAGCATTGAGTGTGTCCAGCTGAAGAAGAATTTTTATTAAATTGACTTCAAATTAATAAATAATTTTAATAATTTTTGTGTATCAGTCCACATTGGAATCATGATCAGATTGTTTGTAATGAAGCGGAGCAGTGAATTGATGTGATTTGATGTGTTGAAGCTGAAGTTTCTCCTCATTTAAACCACCACTAAGTGCTTTTGCTCCTGATGTTCGTCTGCGTGAGAGAGTTTTGCCAAATGTATGGATGCCTTGAGCTTTAGCGGCCTGCAGTTATTCAGAGGGTTGATGCATGATGGGATTGAATGGACTGATCGTCATACTCGCTGGTTCAGTTCAACAACAGGTCAGACTCTTTAACTAGACTAACCTGTCAGTTATTACCTGCTTCAATTAAACTTCATTAAGACCTAAACACATTGCATGTATTGTGTCTGTTTTGAAATAAATAGACTAAATATTTATGGGAGATGTAAATTACTCTTGAAATCAAACATGATGCTGATGGGAGTGTGCACACTGAAAATACAACATCAGTGTCAGATCACTGTGACGTCTACAGAGAAAGAAAAGAAAAAAGATGATAAATTGGAATGGAAAAATTTAAATGTATATCTTATAAATGTATATTTAAAAAATGTATAATCTTGAATGGAATATAAATTGCTTCAGATAAAAGCATCTGCCAATAAATACATAAAAATAAAATAATCAAATGAAGTATCTTGAATGCAGTGTATGTTGCTGCTGAGAAAGGCATCTGCCAAATGCATAAATAAATATAAAATAATATTAGATTAAGTTAAATTAATAAATTAAGATGTTTTGTTTTGGGGAAAACACTGGAATCTATGGAAGAGACAGATTTAAAATGAGGAACAAGTCAACCATTTAGTAAGAAGCTGAGCTGCTAGTATTTCTAAACTCAACTAGTCCTGTGTTTCTGTACCTTCCTTCTGTTTTAATCTGTCTCTCTCAGAGAAACTGCTCAAAGTGCCTGTGAAACACAAGAATGATGCCTGACGTCAAATTTATGTGCTTTCATTGACACATATTCTCCTTATTTCACAGAGAGATGGTGTGCTTATGTTTAAATAGATGACTAATGTTTCAGATGCATGTGCTGCTGCTGTGTTTATACCAGACAAACGTCTGGACGTTCACCAAAAAGATTTACTGTTTTATTGTCACAGGTGTTAAAAACAGTAAAACAGTGTTAGAGTTAAGTCAAGCTAAATCATCTGCCAAATAAATAAAATAAAATAAAATAACATTTATATAACTAAAATAAAATAAGGTTAAACAAATGCATACCTTGAGTTGCTTTGGATAAAACAAAACAAAACAAAATATAAAATTTAAATAGCTAAAATAAAATAAGGTAAAACAAATGCATACTTTGAATGCACTGTAAGTCGCTTTGGATAAAATAAAATAAAATAAAATTATTTATTTCATTGAATCCTTCCAACTGATCATTTCAAATCTTTGATACGATGAATCGTTTGTCATAAATCATTCATCATAATCTGTTCACAAAAGGCCTGTGTAGCATGTTTAATATATTAAAATATTTTAGTAAAATTAAAAAACAATTATTAATCAGGATAATAAAACAATAACCAATAACGCATTTTCACTGTATTTGATTGTTTGGTTGAAATGATGTTGACAAAAATCACCCCAGTAAATCATCACTTTAATTTTCTCCAAAACTATACAGTAAAATGACTTGACAATTGATACAGTAATAATCAGGTTCACTCTGAACAGGAATTAATTGGAAGAATTAGCAAACTTGCATAGGAAAGATTTGTATGTTTGTGACAACTATACAGTAAAATGACTTGGAAATGAACACAGTAACAGCCAGGGTTACTGTAAAAAGAAATAAATTGAAAGAATGAGCAAACCTATAAAGGGAAGATTTAATTATTTTATTTGACCCTCTAGCACGCTCTATTCTAATTCTATTCTTTTAAAAAAAACTTGCCCCTTTTAGACTTGCACTCTATTCATTTACTAACTGCTTGTTTTCTTTAAAAAAAACTAGCACTAGCTTTTCTATTCTTTCTATTTGTTTTCTTTTTATTTATTATATAATTAACAAAAAGCAAAAAAAAAGGCCTCTAACACTAGCTTCTTTATTATTTTTGTATTCTGTGTTTTCTTTTTATTTATTATAAA